AATTCTGACTCCTAAAAACCCATGTGCATCTAAACTTATTGTCCTGTGGGTTCAATAAATTCCTTTCCGATGCACTATGAACATGAGTTTGAAATGAAAAAAAATTCATTTACACAAGCAGCCAGCTCCTCTAGGAGAATGCCATGGGAAACTTTGTCACAGGTCTTGCTGAAGTCAAGGTAGACAACATCCACATCCCTTCCCTCATCCAATAAGCTCGTCACCCTGTTATAGAAGAAAATCAGGTTAGTCAGACAGACCTGCCTTTTATGCACCCATGCTGACTGGACCTGATCCCCTGTTTGTTCTGCATGTACCACATAATGGCACTCAGGGTGATCTGCTCCATCAGCTTCCCTGGTACCAAAGTCAAACTAACAGTCCTGTAACTTCCTAGGTCATCCTAGCTTGGTCAGGCAGGACTTTCCTTTAGTAAAGCCATGCTGGCTGTCCTGAATCACATCTCTCTTCTCCATGTGCCTTGTCAGAGCTTTCAGGGAAATCTGTTCCATGATCTTCCCAGGTACAGAAGTGAGGCTGGCAGCTTAGTAGTCTCCAGGGTCCTCCTTTCTGCCCTTTTTAAAAATGGGGATAGTGTTTCCCTTTTTCCAGTCACCAGGGACTTCACCTCACTGCTATGACTTTTCAAATATCATGGAGAGTGGCTTGGCAACTACATCAAACAATTCCTTCAGGACTCTGGGATGCACACCTGTAAAAGTGGTCACAGAACAATACCCTGTTGCTGTGTTATGTGTCTTTCAAATCTTCCATTTAGCCAGTGGAAAGACTCTGTGTTGAAGAGGTGTCTCTGCTACATGCCCCCATGCACCAAAGCTCCTTAGGTGGCATTTTATAGGTCCTGCCAAATCGGGTGGGAGTTTTGATATGCCTGGGAGCAGGAAGGCTCTACAGAGGGACCTGGACAAGCTAGATCAATGGGCCAAGGCCAATTGCAAGACGTTCAATAACACCCAAGTGTCGGGTTCTGCATTTCAGTCCCAACAACCCCAGGCAATCTAAAGGCCTGGGGAGGAGCGGCTGGGGAGCTGCCCAGGGGGAAAAGACCTGGGGGTGCTGGTTGACGGGTGGCTTAACCGGAGCCAGCAGCGCCCCCAGGTGGCCAAGATGGCAAATAACATCCTGGCCTGCACCAGGAATGGTGCGGCCGGCAGGAGAAGGGAAGTGATTGTTCCCTGTACTTGTCCCTGGTGAGGCCACACCTCGAGTACTGTGTGCAGTTCTGGGCCTCTCACTGTGAGAAGGATGTTGAGTTACAGGAGGAGAGGTACCAAGCTGGTGAAGGGCGTGGAGAACAAGTCATACAAGGAGCAGCTGAGGGGATGTTTAGTTTGAAGAAGAGGGGGCTGAGGGGCAACCTCGTTGTCCTCTACAGGTACCTGTAGGGAGGTGGGTGTTAGCTTCTTCTCCCAAGTGAATAATGACAAGACCAGAGGAAATGGCCTGAAGTTGCAGCAGGGGAGGTTTAGACTGGATATTAGGAAGAATGTCTTTACTGAAAGCGTGGTCAGGCACTGGAACAGCCTCCCAGGGAGGTGGTTGTCACCATCCTTGGAGGTACTCAAGAAATGTGTAGATTTGGCACTTCAGGGCATGCTCCAGTGGACATAGTGGAGGGTTGTGTTGTTGATGATTGTTGGACTCCATGATCTTGGAGGGCCCTTCCAACCATGACGTTTCTGTGACTCCATGACTTTTATGCATGGAAAGGGTTAAGAATTTTTAAGACATACATATCAAAGCTTGATTTGTGAGAGTCAGGATGCCATAAATAGTGTTTATTAATGATAGCTAGACGCTGCTTTAGAGTAGTTCTAACTGTAGCAAATATATATATTTTTCTGTAAAGTGATTTTTTTGTTTTGTTTTGTTAACATGATGTAACAACAGATCACAACATTTCAAAAAGTTCTTTCATATTTTATTAATTTCTTTCTCACTTGCATAATGCAAATCCTGAAAGGATTTCTTAATTTATCTCCTGAGGTTTCATGCAAACAGGAAATTCCACTGTATGCTGTTGTGGGAGAACCAGCCTCCACAAAAAAAACCCAACAAAACAAAAACCAAAAAAACAAGCCCAAAACCCCCTGAAATACCCCCAAACCAACCAACCAGACAAAAAAAAACACATAAAAAGCCCCACCAAAAAAACCCAAAACCAAAACAAACAAATAAGGTTCCCACTCAAATTGACTGCAACAGAGAGACCTAAACTGACGAAAAAAAAATAAAAAAGGAGAAGCAGCGACAACACTGCGGTGGGTGGAGGGGGGGCCACGGCTGGGACCTACCCAGTGAAGGACAGAGACAAACACACCTCGCTGTTTTTGCAGCCGGGACCCAGACTTTTGCAGAAGCTGCACCCGGGGGCGGGGAGCTGAGCGGACTGGAAGACCAATCAAAAGCTATTAATTACCCTGCAAAAGACAGTCTTTGTGGGTGGTTATCGGTCGGTGCCGCTCAGTTCGTTGCTGCAGGAAGAAAGGAGAGAGAGGAAAAGGTAGAAGAACGAGGAATAGGAGACCAAATAAAAGAGAGCCTTCCGTGAGGGCATTTCCTCTGCCTCTTCCCAAGGAGCTGTGCAAGCAGAGCCGAAGAAACAGAAGCAGGGAGCTCGTGTTCCTCGCCTGGGTGGACTCGGACAACAGCTGCACACAGGTGTGATCTCAGTTTTGAAGGCAGGTTCTTAATGTGAAAAAAAGACAGTGTTCAGATACAGACCTATAGCATGCAGATTATGATCTATTCAGTGTTGAAATGATGCAACAAAACCTATATAAAACTGGAAAAGATAAGCACTGACATGCTCCTTTTCTTCCCCTTCAAGAAATAATGTCTGAAGTATTTCTGACAAGCTGCTACCCTGCCTTGCATTATGTTTCCTGAATGCACCTGTTCTTCTGGTACTCAGAGGAGCTGGGACAAGCACCCTTCTTTGTGCTCCAAACTGCAGGATAACAAGGCAACGAGAGTAGCAATGCAAGCCCGCTGATTATACTACCTGGATGACGACTTCACAATCTAGGTGGATAGAAAAGAATAGCCATCTGCCTCAGATGTGTGATGTCATGCATAAAAAAGGAAAGAAACACTACAATTAATTCCACTTACATCATGTAATTAGTGAAGGTAGATGCATCCAATATACTAGCGCATATATATATGACAACATGAACCTTCAACAGAAAGCAGCTTATTTTTAACATTCTCATTGTTGCATAATGCTTGGTTTTACCTAACGTGGAAAAAAAAGGTTTTCTTCCTTGCAAGATAAAAGTTTTTACTAGAAAATACTCTGAGTAAAAAAAAAAAAAAAAATTAGGAAAAATCATACTTTGCAAGGTATTTTCAAAAACTAGGTCCATTTTAACCAATTTTATATTTGAGGCAGGAACCATAGGATCTATACAGAATCTGTTAGGACCTTATTTACCAAAGAGATTAAATGATAGAAACAGAAGTCAGGGCTGAAGCCAGGTAACAAAGAAAGGAAAAAGCTTCTAGCTTGGCTCTTCAGACTGCTGGTTAAGCCTGAAATCAAAAGTTTCTAGCAGCAGGATTTCCAGATCTTGTGACAGATCCCAACATATTTTGCCATTCCAGAGAGAAACAAAGTAGAGAGTGGTTAAAATGCCTGTAACATTTGTTGCAGGGGAACCACTGAAGAATAAAAAGCCCTAACAAAAAAAAGCAAGCAATACACATCTTAATTTCCACTTTCTCTTAAATCTATATGCATCTCATACACACCTTGGATAAGCTTTGAAGGTTGTATTAGTATTTTTTCATCTGGGGTACTTTATAGCCATGGATCAACTACTTACCCTCCACAGCACCAACTTGTAATAGAGATGCAAAAGATAATACCACTTTTTGGATTGGTATGAATTCTTCTGGTGAGTATGCCTAGAAGTGTATGTCCCTTGTCATGTTTCCCAAAACCCACTGATGCTTACTTCAGCAAAGATAAAGCTCTAATACAGGAAAATCAGCCATCAAGGAACTATATATATGCCACTTTTCACCAGTATCCTACTGTTTTGGCTTCCTTGTACTTCAAGTTTTGAAATAACATAACTGAAAACCTTACCAGACAACTCATGGCAACTGCCACCAATTCCTTGTTCTCCTGCAGTCCACAAGTTACACTGCAAAGTATGTCACACAACTCAGTATGTCCCTCATACATGAATATTACTATCTTCTGCTGCTAATAAAATACACTAGTATTTGTAAAGAAATTAGATACTATGATGGCAACCATAACCCTAACAAATAGCCAGAGTGCTACTATAGGATTATTTTTAATCAATCACTTTTCCAACAGCTTAATTCAGCTTAATTTCAATGTTACTGGAAAAAAATCAGTAACTGTTTTAAGAGAGTTTGAGTAGACCTTTCACACGGTATTCCAAAATAATAAAAAAAAACAGATGACAGCAATTTAATAGCACTTTTGACTTCAGCAAAAAAAGTTTATTAGGGAATAGACTTTTTAGAAATAGTGTTCCACAATGCACTTTTTTTTCTCCATGGTATCAAATTGGACCAGTGGGGGTATCACAGAACATCTTTTGATGCAAATTAGAAAGATCAACTACAAAGATATTAAGTGGCACTAACTTTGACAAACCCAAATAGTTCAGTTGTATTACATAAGCCAGATTATAAACATAACTTTAGTCAAGTACAACTGTGCTGCAGCTGCAAGAACTCGAACAAAGTGCCACATAATGGAAAATTTTATCATAATACAAGCTTCAGACATCAGTTACCAGCAAAATTCCCCAAGGAAAAACAGGCTGCATAATCTTCCAACCTCAATTTGAAAACTTAAGCTATATTATAAATCTAAAGACTTCGGAAAATCTTGCACAGTCTTTCTAAACCAAAATATATAATATAGGTAGTATTTTACATACAATATTTTATCAAACTTCACATTTTTATTTTGGGGGCGAATAAAATTTCAGACCCTAGTTAGAAGTTTCTGCAGCACTGTTTAGAGAAATATGGTATCATGATCAAACAGAAAGGAAACTTGATGAGCAGGTGATTCAGAAAGTACAGGTGCAAGCATGTGACGACACACTGGGCATGTTCCAGCCTACAAAAAAAAACAAACAAAAAAACAGGTTTGGGATTTTTTTTTTACAGTTTGCCTTCAATTCTATTGAATAGCTGGAGGTTATTGTTTACAAAGTATTTAATGTCTTCACAACAGCACTGTGTCAAAGTAAAATCTCACTGGATTGGCTAGCTGGAGCTAAGAGACAGATAACTATCTCAGGAGAAATCTTTGTTTTGCTTTTACACAAGTTACACAGCAAATACATCAGGCCTGCAGAGGCAAGGTCATCTTTGAAGAGCTGATTTTGCCTGGGCGAATCTGTTTTTGAGGCAAGGATTAAATATAACCTAGGTACAGCTCAAATCTAATAGGAAGCATTTTGTCCTACTTTTCAGGAAGAACAGTTTATTATGACAGCAGGAAAAGGACATGTAATATGAGCAATATGAACACAGAAATCCAAAATACAAAGGTAAAACCCCAAACAACAATCCACTGCTGTTGTGATCTCCCTAGCCTGAATCAATTACGGTTCTCTTGTACCTCTTGAAAAACTGATGTTACCCTGTAGGCTCATTGACAAAATGCCAAGTCCATGCTCCATAAAGCAGAGTGCATGTGCAAGGAAAAAAACAACAAACAATTCATAACTATAGTTCTTTTAGCATAGCCTCATGTGGTGGGTCGAGCCTGACTGGACACTAGGTGCCCTGACATTCCGGCAAAACGGATCAGATCCTAAGCTCTTCTCAGAAAAGCTATGCCTTCTTTACATCTAGGTATGAGCACAGTAAAGAGAGCTTTTCTCGTAGCAAAACACACAACCATCTCTCTCACTCTTGCTAAAAGCGGACCACTTTTTCCTCACAAAAATGCCCCCTCTATTCAAGAAGTTGCCCTTCAGGTGAGTACAGATATAAAATACCTCCCTTCCTTGCACTAGTACTTGGTTCTGTAACGCATAAAATTAACACCCAATTATTTCATCCCACGTTTTCAAGAAGTTAAACTGTGCTTCCCAGAATACTGCAAATACTCAAGAAAACATACAAAACCCCCAGCAATTCTGTAGCACTTACTTTCTCTAACCAAGGAATTACACAAGATTTGTGAAACAGATGATGACAGGGTAGCTCTGTTATAATTTCATCTTGCACATAGTCACTCCAACAGATAACACAACATTCTTGTTGACCTACACCCATGATAAAGAAAAAGCATTATTATTATTATTATATTTTTGTATTAAAATGGGCTGTATTAAAGTACATATACTATCACAACAGTATCACTAATGATTACAAAATACAAACACACTTACTCCATTAAAGATTAGTTTTCCAAACTAACCAAAGTTATATTTGGTCTGATTCACAATTCAAAACCTCTTAGAACAGCATTACCAGCTGCATAGGAAGTATGCTTAAACACTGCATTTATGATATTGCAGAAAGCTATATTTTTTCTTATTAAAATTGTGAAAATTAAGAATTAATTATTTTTCCATATCATCACGGTCATCTGTGATGATAATCTGTGGCAGACAGTCAATGGCTGCTTTGGTAGCTG